CTTTGGCCGATGTTCCGCCACCATGTCATGACGCTAGTTCTACTCTGACTTTTGACACCATCGAGAAAATGATCACCCCCGATCTAACCCGGTACAAGCTACAGATCTCCACAATAGACTTGCGTCCTACCACAACATTTTTTACTTTGACTACCACCCTCCGGGCCAATCTGTCGTTACTCATCGGATCAAGCACTGCTGATGCCACTCTTATACGCCGGTGTCCATACCGCGTATCTTAATGAGGAACGTCACCTAATACAGCACGATGTCATCAAAATGATCACTAAGAACGTTATAGAGCTGTTGTCCTGCCCGTGGGCCTCTCTGTCGTGCATGTGAAAAAGAAGGATGGAAACTGGCACTTCTTGTGTTAATTATCGCCACTTAAACATGGTAACTCATAAAGACGTCTACCCTTTGCCTTGGATCCATAACGCCCTCGATTGCCTCCATGGTGCACAATACTTTTCATCCATCAACCATCGGTTCGGCTATTGACATATTTTAGTCTACCCCATGGACCGCGAAAAAACAGCCTTGTGACGCCCGATGGTCTCTACCAATTCAAGGTCATGCATTTGGACTTTGCAATGCCCCGGAACCTTTCGAATGCATGTATCTCCGCGGATATAAGTGGTCCATCTATTGATGTTACCTAGAGGATGTCATCGTCTAATCCCTTACGCTCAACAGCCATCACGGACGTTTGTCTGTAGTTTTGGATGTTTTTTGCAGAGCCGCTCTTCAAATGAATTTGGCAAAGTGCCGTTTTGAACGGCGCGAAATCACTATACTCGGCCACCTTTTAAATGCTGTCGGCGTTCAACTGGACCCTGACAAGGTACGGGCAGTGCGAAAATTCCCTGTACCGTGCTCAACCAAGGACGTTTGCAGTTTTGTAGGATTATGTTCCTATTTTCGTCGCTTCGTCCGCAGCTCTGCTGACATCGCCCGACCTCTTACTCATCTCCTGAAAAAAGACGCTCCTTTCACGTCGGGCACCGAGCAAGCAAACTCTTTTTCTGCCCTTATCCTTTTGCTGACTGCATCGCCAATACTGGCCCATTTTGACCCTGCTCCATATATTGAGCTTCAGACTGATGCCAGTAGCCAGAGAATTGGGGCGGTTGCCAGTTAAACATAGTACGGCAAGAATCGAATAATTGCTTACGCCAGTCGTCTCCTTTTGCCTGCCAAGCAGAAATTCTCCATCACTGAGCGTGAATGCCTAACGCTAGTGTGGGCCGTGACCGAATTCAGGCTCTATCGGTATGGCCGAATGTTCTCCGTAGTCACAAACCGTTGCGCTCTCTGCTGCTCTTGTCACTAAAGGACCCGTTTGGATGTCTCGATCGCAGGGCACTACACCTTTAAGAATACTTGCTTGAGATACATTACAAGTCTGGGCGACTTCACACAGACACAGACTGTCCCGTCATCTAGTTGAAGAGCCTAATCTACAAGACCTTGACTCGAACCCCTGCGTCCCGTCCATCCGCACTTTGGGTGACGCCGCCAATGAACAGCGACGGGACCTATTGTTAGTGGCTATTATCGACTGTCTAACATCCCGACCGCCAGATTCGTCTGTTTGAGCTGCATGACAACATTCTGTACTGTCGTAGCTTCAACGCTGATGGCCCAGAACTACTTCTGGTGCTACTTCGTCGTCTACGCAACAGTATCCTGGAACAACTTCATGATGCACCAACTACCGGTCACCTTGGTGTTTCTCATACATACAATCTGACAGCGACGTTTTTTCTGGCCCAGCATGTACCATACTGTGGTTCGTTACGTCGCTTCATGAGACCACTGCCAACGACGAAGGCGCACCTCAGTGCTGCCGTCTGGCCATCTACACCTCATCGACATACCCATGGAGCCATTCTTCCATGTTGGACTTAGACCTGCTAGGCCCTTCTCCTACGTCCACCATGGGTAATAAGTGGGTTGCTGTCGCCACAAATTACAACACACTCTTTGCCATCACTCAAGCACTGCCTATGAGTTGCGCTACAGAGGTCGCTGACTTTCTCTTGTTCGACGTCATTTTACATCATGGTGCCCCTTGGCAGATGCTTACTGATCGAGGAAGATACTTCTTTAACGTATCGTGGATGACGTTCTGCGTACCTGCTCCACTCAGCACAACCTTACTACAGCTTATCATCCCCAGTCGAACTCTTACTCAGATGCTGTCAATGTACGCTTCGTCTCATCACCGTGACTGGGACATCACACCCCCATTCGTCACTTTTGCTTATAATTTTTCACTATATGATAAAGCAGGTTATTCACCCTTCTATTTGCTATTTAGCCGACATTCAGTGTTACCAGTTGAAACCCTCGTTCCTTCGACCAGACCCTTGCCTACTACCGACGCCAACCATGTCACTGTTCAAGCCCAAACAGCTCGTCAGGTCGCCCATGACCGACTATCTTTGTTGCAAAAACAGCAATAAGATCGTTATGATAGTTGACATTGCAGCTTCTATTTCACATTGGGATCTCTTGTACTCCTCTAGTCACCCTGCCACCAAGTCGGCATATTCAAGAAGATTCTCTCCCGTTACAACGGCCCTTATAAAGTACTCCGCCGACTCAGCGATGTGAAGTACCCCTGAACACAGCCTCTTTCACTACATCACTCCAGACGGACATTGTAAATGTTTCTAGACTGAAACCATATTTCCTCGCTAGCTTTTCATCACCTTAGCAAGCAGGGCAACCGCCCTTCCGCCAGGGAAGGGTGACGTTACGATGTAACATAGACATGAACCAAGGTGGTGGTCTCCGAAGATGAAGACGATGAGAAAACGTGGAGCACTTGCGAGAGTGGTACTCCTCGGCCATATTGTCAGGCTGACGATCCGCAGTGTGAATGAATCCACATCTCATCTCCATCACAATATTAACTGCAAGTTCTAGGTCGCTTCAAGAGATCACAGATCGAAGCATTTATTTTGTGCCCAGCTCACCCCCGCCAAAGAAGAAACAAACAAAATGGTGCAAAACTTGCTAACTATAAAAAAAGCAAAGCCAGGCCTGCGCGAAAGGCGCAGCACAGTCACAGCGAAAGCTAGAAGAGCGGCCTTACAGAGCTTTTTCTAAACAATCGTTGGGTAACTGCTGCAAACACACTTGCTGGGTACCCACTACGGCATTATAATAATAATTTCTGGGTAGTAGTCTGACATTCGCTATGCTATTCTTTGTATTCTTCCGAGAAGCGTGGTATCTGCTAAACACTTGGAAGGAATTTTGTGCCCATTGTTCATGCAGTGGCTGACGACGATGAAAAACTATGCCTGAAATGGGTATGCGCCCCAGTTAATAGGTGATCAAGAACAAGCTTTTGTAGTGGGTTGGGGAATCGGACGACCCACTCATTACGTTATTCGCATTGTGTGACGACTGGTTGTTCTTTTGCTGTTCTAAAAGGCTTTACTATTCATATTAAAGCGATTTTTTTTCCCACATCAAGCATGCCTGAGGCAAGTTTGCGACCAAGTTTTAAGCACCGACGCGGCCCAATGGTACATTATTGGGCAGGCACGCAGCGGACCAGAGTTCGATCTCCACTGTGTCCTTGGAACTTGATTTTTTTTTTCTAGTTTCTGCGACGGTGGTTACGGACAACTACGGCACTATGCGTGACCCGAGTTTCAATCTCATAACAGCTTTCACTGTAAAATATATATATGGGCTGGTGTGCTGCTGCTGAAGCACTTACAAGAGTTCTTCAGTTGCTGCATGACTGCATTCATTCATTGCCACATTCTACATGGCTAATTCATCCTCTATGATGAACGAGTCAGTGGTGTGTCTTAATGCGCATCCATCAAATAACATGAAGCACTGTACAATGAACAAATGCAACCGTGCATCGGAGAAAGTGGAAATGCTTGAGTAAAGAGTCACTCACACACATTTAGTATTTCATATTTGTCGCGTTTTGCACTAATAATATGATGTGTTTATTCTCCCAAAGCCAACATATGATTATGAGAGACGCCATAGTGTAGGGCTCCGAAGATTTCAACAACCTAGAGTTCTTCACTGAGCACCGAAATCTGGGCATACGGGCCTACAGCATTTTTGATCCCGCAAACTTATGGCACTCAACGGGTTAGCCGTTAAGTGCCATAACTACTAGACCACCTCGGCAGGGCGATGTTTTTTGTGCACTTTTCTTTTTGTCAGAAAAACCAAGCAGACAGATTTGAGAAAACAGTGAATGCTTGATTCTGGGGCTACTTCCGGTAGCCTACAGCGTCAAGTTAGTATTTTACTGCTCTGAACAATAAAGTGAGCTGAATAAAGGTAATTGTTAATTTATTGCTTAGCAAATAAAACAAATTTTATGTACGCACCACTACTTCAGTACACAGCATGTAGAACTTTTCTAGAAAGCTTAATTTTTTTTCTTCTTTAAATATGGGTTCCAGTTCGCTGAGACACCTGGTATAAAATGTTTTAAAAGTTGCACTCATCCTACAAACACTGCAAAAAACACAAATATTAAGCATAACCTGCCTTCGTTATTGAAATGTAACCTAGGTAATTCTGACAAGAAATATCACCAGCATCTGCTGGTCTGCCATGAGGAAAACTCAGACGATGTGCTGCACATTGCGACATCCCTCAACAGTTTTAGCTAAACAAATGCAATAGAGCCACCAAAATCACTCAAAAAAGGAATGCAAGACCAGAACTATAAATGTGGCTCAAAAAAAAAAAAAAAAAGAATAGCTGAACCTTGGTAAGATGACAGAAAGCCTTGTGCTTTCTGTGTTGTGCACCGACTAGTGAAAAAGCAGTAATTGGCCAAGGAGTACTGCAAACACCAGCACACACAAATGCACACACATACACCAATTGAGAGTATGAAGCAGTTATCCACTTTAAGAAAATGGTGTGAAACACAGGACAATGACCGAGATGTTACTGTCCTGTTTCCTTGACTATGTACCAACTAGTCTCTAGTACACTACCATGTGTGCCAGCTGCACTGCCGGGTGGAGCCGGAAGTTCTGCACGAGGTGATGGTAATGGGTCGAGAACAACGTGCAACAGCGGATGGTCGATGCTAGCTCCTGGACCACTGCATGCGCCAGGGCCATGCCATCGTGCGTCGACGTACCCCGGCCTGAAATTGGACACATCAAAGTGTTCACACAACAAAATATCCTTTGAAGCTTGAAGGTACAGCTGCGATTACAGCAAAATGGCTGCTACTTCTGTGAAGCCCATGGTTTCATACTTGAATTCTCTTCAATGCTTTTATCTCAGTAAATGAAACTTTTGTTAATAGAACACATTTTTCAATTACCTTCTGTTTTTTTTTTTTTAGCATGAGTCAACTGTTGTCTTTGGGCATTGTTCAAAACACGAGACACAGCAAATAAATGAAAAAACCACAGCATATCTACGGAGTGAATGATGATGAGTAGGGCAAAGCGTCCGTCCCGCAATGAGCACGAGCCCCCGCGGCCCTCCGCTCCGCTTAGTTTGTTCCCCCTCAACTAGGCGACGAGCTTGAGCTGCCGTACCCACCACTCTCCTTCATCCATGCCTTACCAACGATCCACCACGTACGACAACGATCCAGGAGACCGAGGGAGGCACTTGTTCCCCCCGCACCCAAGCGCAGCAGCAGTGGCATCAAGAATATCCTCACACAACTCAAGTTTGTTTGTACTTCTTTGAGACAGTGTCATCTATTATACTGTTTGGGAGATACTACCTTCTTTTTTTTCTCGTTTTCTTCTTTTGTTAGTTACGCATGACGCAGCACAAGGTTAGACTGAGAACAGTTTCGCTCCCCCGCCCCTCCCAAAACCTTGCTGAAACTCGCCTGCCACACGGGTGCACAGCAGAGCAAGAGCCATCATAATTGCCTTTTAGGGGCGAAGGTCCTCTTAGTTTAACCTTGTCCTGCATCAGATGTAACCGACCAGACAGACAGACAGGCACACAGACAGGCACACAGGCACACAGACAGACAGTCGGAAGGACCGATGGACGCTTCACTTTACTCATCATCAGTCACTGTGTGGATATGCTGTGATTTTTTTTACATAATCCTCCACTCCAGAAGCCACACTTTTCTGTATCACTTTTTGCAACCAAGTGCCACATGCCCATTTTCCTATGAAATTTGCACAAGTGTCTTCACTGTTAGAAACGCTTAGAGTTAAAGGGCTGGTTTCACAAAAATTCCGGCATCAGCCTCGTTGTTTGTGAGCGAAAACTCATCATTTTGTCTGCGACCGGAAAACCAAAAAACATGCAAACAAAATAAATAATGAAAATTCTGGGTCCGACTGGGGATTGAACCCAGGTTGTTTGTGTGGCAAGTGAGGGTTCTACCACACAGCCATGCATCTGCTTGTGAATACAGTGAAAATAACTTCTGCTTAGATATGCAGTAAAGTAACTTTCATGCTTTACAAACACACGCATCTTGTTTACATGCTTTCCTATACAACATGATATATTGCAGTAATAATGTGTGGTACAAGCGTATATTGCCATTGGGCATCAGAACAAGTGATTATCATAATGACTTCATGGTTTAAAGCCAATCACCCACTACGAAGGGCACCCACATTACTGTGCCTATTCCCTTACTGGGGGATGGGTAACACAGAAAAGTGGGGCATTGCTACTGCCCATCACTCTGTTTGTTTTTGCGCTGGCCCAATAAAATTTTGCAAGTTGCGTGAATGGGGATTTTACTATACGTCTTATGAATTCGGCAAGAAAATACAAAGCCATTATGAAAATATTAAAAATGAGTTATTTGACTATTTTTATTTTGAAGGAACATTTGTGAGAAATCTTTTGTGTGTAAAATGATGAAATCTCTTCTATTTATTACAAGTCAACTGGGTATTTTTCTGAACTAAAATAATAACTGTATGCATGGTCAATCTTTAGTTAAAAAATTATATGTTGGATGATTACTATTTTAGGGTTTTTACTTAAAGAAGAACTGTCATTAACGATAGAATTCTGGTGTAAAAACATTTTTTTGCTTCAGAAAGGGCATACAAAATTCAGAAAAAGGTCACAAAAGTTTGCGTTTGTCAGGTTCAGCAGTTACAAAGAATATGTTCCTTTTCTGTTAGGAGAAAACCCCATTTAAGGTTCGAGTTACTACGGTGGAGCCACGGGATCAGGCAGGGTTCGGGTCATTTTCAGTAGATTAGCACTGCGCGCAAGAACACGCCATTTTGTGGAAGCACTCGTCAGTAATGCTGTAATATTTTGCAATAAAAATTGAAAAATCGCATTTGCAGTCGTCTTCGCCTTCGATTCCCCCTTAAGGTCACATAGTGGATGAATACAAGTTTGAAAAGATTTTAGGCACTATAACTGTATGAAGTATGCATTAGCGACAAGATGTCGCTATCGTGATCAACTTCTAAAGGCGAAGCTTTAGGGTTCCCTAATTTTTATTCATCCTCTCCAAAGTCCCGCCCGCCTTGAAAGCTGAAGGACAACTCCGTGGCTAGGACAACTTTCCATTTATAAATGGCACCATAATGATACCGTCTGTTTGGTGCCATTCAGCTTTGCCACACACAGACCACTAAAAGCGCCACTCAGAATGACAAACAACTCGCCTATACACTCGCCACAAAGATCAAAATGGCAGCCTCACGGGCCACACGTAACATGTGCAGGTGTTGGCTTGGCTATTAACAATACCATCTAGGTGGCGGTAAAATCGTAGTATAAAAATCTAACTTGAGTTTACATTTGCGTCTTATTAATACTGCTAAGAGCTTCACACACACACAAAAAAAAGTTCAGAACCTCGGCTGTACATACTGTTATGTGAATGATGAGTCAGTAGAAAGTCCGTATACTCTTCACTCGCTATACCTACAGAAGCGGTTGCAGCATTTACCGGTTCTGCACAGAGCCCAAGCAAAGAAAGATCTTCCTTCTCTTAAACCAGCACATACCCGCTAGTTCAAGCATAATCTCTGGCGGTAGAGGCGCCGTTACGGCACATCTAGGTGTCGACATCACTGGGAGAGTGGTAGGGCTTCAAGCGTGCCACACGATATTACTGACCTGTGGGTCAGTTGAATGCGACAGGCGTAATTTCTTAATTTACCGGAAAAATGACACGAACGAATCGGTATGAACCTGCACATCGAGACAGCAATTTTTGACAGCCCAATGTGACGGGCCGCAGACAGCAGTGGCGCCAAAGAACTGGGCGAGACGAGCACATCTCGGTATCTTCTTTCGTACAAATGTCTTTAGTCCTTTTGGCTGTGCACCGCAAGCATCGACGATGTGACAGTTGGACGAGTTCAATTGGAGGTCAACTTTCCAGAAGACATCGAGAATAGCTGACAAATGCTGAAGGCGGGTCTCAAATGTAGGCAAATATACAAGGACATTGTCAATGTAACAAAGGCACGTTGTCCATTTGAATCTTTCTAGCAATCTTTATATCCCTCACACTCACAAAACGTGTTACGTGAATGACAAGTTGGTAGACTGCAGTCTGTATTCTATTGATTTGATACATCTACAGTAGCGGTTGTAGCGCTGACTGGATCAGCCCAGTGCCCATGCAGAAAGAGACCTTTCTTCTCCTTGTCCCGCACACATGCACATGGTTCTATAGGCTGGCAATATGCCTGAAGCAATATGACCAGTCATATTTTCTGACTAACCGTCTATCAAAGCTAATGTTCTCTCGCGATTCTACCTAATGTACTAATGTTCCAATGCATGATACGAAGGCATTAGCAGCATGTGTGGAACTTTAAGTAGACACAACTTCAACACTTGTTTTCCCAGGCTTTGTATGCAAGTGACTGCCGCAAAAGTTACACAGTCGGACACTTACCAAGCTCATCAAGCAACACCAAGGAGTGTTGGGTGGCATGCTGCAAGATTGCTGAAGTCTCGTTCACTTCGACAAAGAAGGTGCTCTCACCTGCAGACACAAAAGCTTTCTTTTATAACCTCTTTTCTTTCTTTTTTTCTGGCAATGACCCTAAGAATTCTTACCCGCTGACATCACACTGCACTAAAATTCACAGGATGTATAATAAAGTTTGCAGTAGCATAATTTCGCTGCAACGAAATTTCATGTACAGTAGTCTCCTTTTAAACAAAACCTTGAAAGACCAGGAAAGTGTGTTTTGTATAGGAGAAGTTTCGTTTAATGGGAGTCTACTGCATATATAACAAAAAAGTAAGGAAACTGCAATCAGGGGTGAAACAGAGAAAATAGAGTTAGGGATATTTTCGGAGCAATAAGATGCTGCTTTTGGAGCAAGAGGATACATACAATTTATTTATTTATTTATTATTACCTCACAGGCCCCGGAAAAAGCATAAGGTGAGGGGGGTATGCAATGCAATACAATCTCTTAGCTACGTGTATTAACAGAAATTTGCAACAATGCTACTAAAAGCCAAATGTAACCAGAATGAAAATAGCTAATGTGGTTGAAAAGCAACCTTGGATAAGCTTATCACAAATAAAATATATACACTTGCACACACACACACGTATAAACATATTAAAAGAAAAGCGGCGCACAAAAAGACGGAGACAAAGAAGAGAACCACACACAGCGCTGCACTCACAACTGAAAGTTTAATCCGAGCAACAAGAATTTAAAAAGTAATAGCCGCGCATGACAAGTGAGATACTACGAGATTAAGTGATATGCTCATCAATAAAAGTGAACTCTTTTTTGTGCAATGTAACCGAGGTCTGGCTTACGCAAGCATAATGTGACTTGTTAATATGATAGGCTTCAGACACCTCACGGGTGAATTGATCGTGGTGCTTAAAAATAATAACAGTGTTAGACAGAAGAGGTGTGCACCCACACGTGGCACAATGCGAAGCCAAATGGGAAAGCGTGCCGTTATGCAAAGAGAGATAGTGCTCCCGCAACCTTTTATTAATACAGCGGCCCGTCTGTCCCACAAAATGAAGGCCACAAGATAAAAGAATGCGGTACACCACCCCCACAGCACAAGGCACATACTTATATCTATGGTTTACGGCACCTTTCTTTACATCTGGCTTGTCCTTCTTGTCTAGCTGATTTGACACCAAAGCCCATATCTTTCCCAATTTATTGGGTGCCCTAAAAACCACATCAACTCCGTAGCGGGAACCAACATTTTTTAACCCATGTGCCAGTTTATGCATATAAGGAATTACTGCGAACTTCATTTTTTCCCGATTGATTTTCCTAGCTGCACGTCCTTTTAAACCAACAATTAACTTATCGCAAACAGCCACAATTATGTTAGGGGGAACCCTGCTTCCTCTAGTCTTGCAACTTGCTTAGCAAAACCAGAGCCCAACATATGCCTGCACGATTTTTCTAGAGCGGATTTAAGGCAGGTGAAAGCGATGCCCCTCTTTACCACCTTTGAGTGGGCTGATCCAAAATTAAGAATTGGTTTCACTGATCATGGCTCAAAACACTAGCAAATATGGGAACTCTGAAACTGAAGTTTAAGATCGAGAAATTGTAGACAGTCAGATTCTGGAACCTCCGATGTGAAGGACAGACCCATGCCTTCTGTCCTGAACACCTTCAACACATTGGAAACATTATCCGAGAACGTGGCATCCTTTATAACAACTAAAAAATCGTCCACATATCGGAAAATACGCATCACAGTTCCGCTTAGGATTGTGTCTACAATGCGATCTATTTTGGCTAAAAAAATTTCACAAAGGACAGGTGCAACGCACGAACCTATACAGACTCCTGATCGCTGGATTAGGGTCTGCCCTCGCCAACCAATGTACGTAGACTTTAGGTAAAAATCTAGTAATTCAGTAAAAAATGAAGTTCGCAGTAATTCCTTATATGCATAAACTGGCACATGGGTTAAAAAATGTTGGTTCCCGCTACGGAGTTGATGTGGTTTTTAGGGCACCCAATAAATTGGGAAAGATATGTGCTTTGGTGTCAAATCAGCTAGACAAGAAGGACAAGCCAGATGTAAAGAAAGGTGCCGTAAACCATAGATATAAGTATGTGCCTTATGCTGTGGGGGTGGTGTACCGCATTCTTTTATCTTGTGGCCTTCATTATGTGGGACAGACGGGCCGCTGTATCAATAAAAGGTTGCGGGAGCACTATCTCTCTTTGCATAACGGCACGCCTTCCCATTTGGCTTCGCATTGTGCCACGTGTGGGTGCACACCTCTTCTGTCTAACACTGTTATTATTTTTAAGCACCACGATCAATTCACCCGTGAGGTGTCTGAAGCCTATCATATTAACAAGTCACGTGATGCTAGCGTAAGCCAGACCTCGGTTACATTGCACAAAAAAGAGTTCACTTTTATTGATAAGCGTATCACTTAATCTCGTAATACCTCACTTGTCATGCGCGGCTATTACTTTTTAAATTCTTGTTGCTCGGATTAAACTTTCAGTTGTGAGTGCAGCGCTGTGTGTGGTTCTCTTCTTTGCCTCCGTCTTTTTGTGGGCGCTTTTCTTTTAATATGAATATACACCAACTCGCCCAACTTTCTATTCTGTAACACGTATAAAATAGTGGAAACTAAGTGCAGTGTGTGGAAGAATGTTGGCTCAAGTGAAGGCAAAAAGCGTCATGAAGCAATATTTTCCGGTAGGCTGTTTCAGAGACGAATGTGCAAGGTAATGATGAAAAATTAAATGATTACGTTGCACCATATAGGTGGGTGTAACTGAGAGTGTTGTGTAATCTACGTGATGTGAACACTTGATGATTCAAACATGGTAGTTATAGTGCATCATAGTGAATTACCTTGTGAAACAATGACAGCAATGCAATATCACGACGGACACCTCACGATGGTAATGATAGTTTGGTTGTAATCTGCATGATACTAGACAGGTGACTATAGTTTTGAACAATAAAAACGGTTTGCCCTATTAAGAATGATTTCTAATGCTTTGATAAAGTATTTCTGATGTGCTGACCAAATAGGAGATTCATATTCAAGCTGCGGTCACACAAAAGTTTGATATGCAAGTTTTCGCAAGGAGGTTTATGGGAAAAGACAAGACACCTTCATTTATTTAGCATGGTATCCCAAGTTTTGAGCAATACAACAAATAAGGCGCATACTTTTATCACGGCCACTGAATAAAAGACAAGGTGCAGCTAGTTGCGTGTTGCCGAAGTGGCGAGATGGGCTTAGTTCACCTCCCAGTCGCTCTGGCGCCACCACTCCTCCCAAGAGAAATGCTTTTACATGCATTTCTACGCGGGACAGTAGGCCGTAAATGTAGCTGCACATCACAGGTTCGATTTTGAATTGTTATTAGGAGTACCTATTACACCACATATGTGAAAAATTTGCTCTAGGAGGGCCAATCAATAGTAGAGTACAGGCCTCAATACTCTCCATGAGTTCTGCCCGTTTGACTAAACTGAAATGAAAAGGGCCACTGATTCCGTTCATGGGTAGGCAATCACCAGGCAGATTCCAAGGGCTGACGTATCGACCCACCGAAACGCACCGCGAAAGAATGCACAATTTAAGTGTAGGTTCTTTCAGTGCCCAACAATGCCGGTTGTGGTCCAAAGACCAAGTTGAAAACCAAGAGCTTACAACACATACAAAATATGTATTTGCAGTGAAGGCATCACAAACTTGCACACTTGGCGGTTACTATTAACAACTCGCAAAATCACTTAGAAGGTGTTTGAAGCAACAGGAACAAACTTACCACACTACAGATGCTATCTCACGCATTATAAACTGCACAAGAACACTTCACGGCCCCAAATATTCACCATACACGTGTGTGCATCCTGATACGCTTCTCGACACTGTAGATAACAGGGGAATACGTTGTTACTTCAAAGTAGCGTCTTTTTTTGTCGACCTGCTCAGTAGCACACAACAGCTTTGCAGCGTCACACCACTAAAAAAGCAATTGTCGCTGCTACCACAGCGCAAAGGCAGGGGCCAGCCGCCACCGCGACTGCGGTCACTGCTGCAGACCGGCTGCGTCAGCGTCGCTGCCACTGGGAGGCTACACTCACCAACGACGAGCTGGCAGACCAGCTATGGGCTGTCCGGCAAGTCGAAGATGCCGCCCGGGTCCAAGGACTTAAAGCGGTCAGCTGAGGCACTGCCTTCTTCATCGACCAAGGGTGGGAAGAGACAAGGGTTAATCCCCCCCCCACCTCGCCAAAAAGGCACTGCCGGACTTCAAATAAAGTTTATTCATTCATTTATGCTACACACGCACGCACCAAGGAATCGTACTCGATCACAGGAAACAAGAGGCAAGCTATCCCCCACACAGGATCGCACACAAAAAAGCACAAGAAAGCACATGAAAAAGCACACTGACAAGCACAAATCCTCACGCAACCACATTGAAACATGAAATATTATCCAATTTGATGAGTGGAGTGTCAGCGCCCACCCCAAAAGAATGGCCGAAACTGTCAACTCTGCCCAGAAACGCTCGACTATTGACGGCGAAGCGGTGCAACAGACTGCACCCTGTTTCTTATCCAGCGGCCGTGTTTTTATAAAAGAAAGGAAAAATTGATTGATTGATATGTGGGGTTTAACGTCCCAAAACCACCATATGATTATGAGAGATGCCGTAGTGGAGGGCTCCGGAAATTTCGACTACCTGGGGTTCTTTAATGTGCACCCAAATCTGAGTACACGGGTCTACAACATTTCCGCCTCCATCGGAAATGCAGCCGCCGCAGCCGGGATTTGAACCCGCGACCTGCGGGTCAGCAGCCGAGTACCTTAGCCACTAGACCACCGCGGCGGGGCAAAAGAAAGGAAAAAGATGTAAAAACCATTCAACATGAGCTACCTCATGCACACTGCATGTGAACACTGCTCTTTCAGTAAAAGCAGTATGTTGAACCATTACATAGTACAAACACTGATTTAAGTCCACATTAGCATTTTCAGCAACCATAAAT